GTTTCTTTTCCAACTATTTATTTATGAGTGAAGTATGTATGTGTATATATGTATATATTGTACTATTCTTAGTTAGTGTATTGTCTGTCTTGTCTTAATGTTGGTTTAAAATGGAGCACTGTAACAAAAAATAATTTCCCCCAGGGATTAATAAAGTATTCTGATTCTGATTCTGATTCTTGAATTTAATCCTTTTCTGTATCATAGTGTTTACTTATCGATATGGTATTGAGCTTCATTCCTGTTTGCGATGACCACTCGCTTGGTTTCTAAAGTTTAACACTCACTAAGCAACCTGACATTCAGGGTTTTAAACATTTCCATGGTGACGGTGACCTCCACTAATCAAAGACATCGCTGTTTCAATTTAGGATTGTGGCTTTATTTCTTTTCGTGAATAAAACACGTTTATGTTGAAACGAGGGGGAGCTCACACCATTGTTTCACAGAGCTGTAGCTCATAGTAAGTCTGCGTTTAATGGTTACGTAATCGCTCATAGTTATTGGGATTTTTACATCAAAATCTCCCTGCTGAGCTCCGTACTCTATGTAAAGGATTAGAGTGAGTCAAAACATTAATATCAGACACCTAGCACACTGTTGTAGGCCCTTGTTAGCTTCAAGCATAAATCCTTAGTTATTTACCGTTTGACGTTTTGTTTTCTTGCTGAGAGTTAGATAAAAGATAAAACTTTCATGCCTCTGTGGTAAATATGAGCAGCGGTTTAGTTTAGCATAAAGACTGAAATCGGGGGAAACCACATTCATGGCTCTGTAAAATGAGCACTTTGTTTTTCTGTATGATGCAACAAATGAATCACCTCATCCAACCCTTCTGAATTTGTCTTAGCTTTTTTCAGAAACAGACACTGTTTGTCTTCCTGATGCCCTGAGTGAACGCTGCTGCCCTATTGGAATATTATCTACATTTTTTTTTGTTAAGGTGATATTATAACCTTTGGAGGGCTTTACAGTATCTGAAATCTGCAGTTAATGGAGGTAAACAAGGATATTTTTGATTTGAAGCTATTCTGAGGTAGAGGAAGGCAGCGGTTTTTCTATTTTTCTTTTTTCCTAAACACACCTGCCTTGTGTTGTCCCATATTTGGGCGAGCCACAGCTGTTTTCCGGCTCTGAGTGTTTTGCCCGGTGGGAGCCTCCATGTTGTCGA